ATATATATATATATATATATATATATATATATATATATGTATGTAATAATCCTGATTATGCATAATAATAATAAAATATATAATTAAACATTTTATTTGTGTATGATTCTTTTTAAAACTTCGTACCAGCTTTTATATATAGTTAAATTGACATGTTAAATATGATCCACATTAAGCCACGTTAAGTATAAGATGACGCTGTGTTAAACATTTTTTTATGGACAAGGTCGTATCAAACAATACATAGACAAATTAGACTTTTTGTCACACATCATATAAAAAAAAATCCTTATAAAACCTAACTTATTTTTTAATTGTGTTGTATGTCCTAAGTTAGTTTATTATAGTTTGGATAGTTTATAATGTGTTTTAGGTAGTAAAGGCACCAAACTTAATGTTATCTTCAACTACTGTCCCGTTGAGCATGACAATCCAAACGATATCGTATTGGGTAGAAATTTGAAAATGAATAGTAGAAGGGAACATCTTAGTCAAACGCATGAACCAATTGGTGTTTGTACGCAATGTATTGAATAATATTTATGACAGAGTAGTCAATATTAAGCACGTTTTACACAACAAAAATTATTTTCATTCCTAACAAAACAAGTCGGCAGAGAATAATACACTTCAAGCCTTTAGACCTTGGCAAGCAAGTGGGAAAATTAAATATACACGTGTCATCTTTATTTTCTCCACCCATTCTACCAACTACACGTGAAAATGTAGGTTTTTTGTTGGATTCGATCAAAATATTAATTTTACGATAACTTAAGCTACCAAGTATCTGTGATCAATTCCAAACTATATCATATCTACATTATATACTTATTAAATGAGTTAATTATCTTATTTTATAAGTCTCGCCGCCATATAAACTTTAAACATTATTAAACAAAATGTTACCATGTGATTATTTAACAACATAACGTTCCGTAGTCCTATAAACTTATTCATATTTTAAATATTTTTTTATTAATATCTCTCTCGTTCACAACATTTTTGCAAGTTGATTGCATTCTTTGTATCCACACTTTTAAAATCTAATCAATTGTTGAAGTGCTCAAAATACTAGTGGTTTCATCATTTAATCCGTATCGAATCGATATTCATAAAATTATTTTAATTAAAAATACACAAATAATATTAATTTTTTTTAAGAAAAGTTTAGCAATGTAATTTTTTTATTTTCTTAACCAGAATTTCAGTGATTTGATTAGGTTATTTTTTTTGGAACAATTTTACTGGTTCGATACGGATTCCACCAATTTGAGATCAATTTTATGTATGATCAATTTTTCTTCAGAATAGAATCGAAGGACCGATTCTCGGACGAACTGAAATAATTATGAGAATCATAATTTATACCGACAACAATGCTTTATATAATAACAACTTCCCGCTGTATTAATTTATGATAAATGATGTTAAAGAACATTCATTATTTATAAGTATAGACATTGAATATAAGTTTCTAAATAATAATTTAAGGGTGTTATGTTTTCGGTAGGTTTCTATTTTCGTCTAGAATCTCAAATAGGTCAATGTACTTTCTTTTTCGACGTCTAAATGAAATCCTTATTTTGTGAAAATTTCATCAATTAAATCCTTACTGTTAAATTGGACCTAACGACATTAACATATATTTGACGTGGTACGGTGAACTATATTTTTAATTGACGTGGCTGAATGATGTGAATTTAGATTATTTTAAAATTAAAAAAATCAGAACCTCAGTCGCCACCCACCCTAGAGCTTCTTCTTTCACATGTTAGGCTTCTCTCCTAAAGTTCCACCGACCACTTCTCCCTCTCCACCGATTATGCCATTCATCTTTCATCTTTACATCGGAGCCATAATTTGAAACTTGGATTGGAGAGTTGATACTCCTTTGGGGAATATATTCTATTGACATATCTGAATTTTAAAAATTTATCTTATCCGGAATTTTGGTTGCAGTTTACAAAGCAAACAGAGAGCATCTTTTGGAAAGCGATGGTCATCCCGTTTGCGGAACCGTCTAGATGATCCGATTTTTTTGAATCTTTTTCATCGAATGGGATCGAAATGTTCCAGAGGAGTTTGTTTGTTTGGGCTTGGCTTTGCTTTGCCTGGGTATGATGATGTGGGACACCTCTCTATTTTTCTTTTTTAAAACAAACTCCAGTTTTTGGATTTTTCTTATATTTTTTCTTTGCTCCTTTTCTTTTGTCTTCTTTTCCTTTTTTTTTTCAATGCCTTCTTCTATTATCTAACGAGCTTTGACCCAAACAAACAAAAGTACAGTGCGATTAATTGAAAAGGTTGGATTGATGATTGATGATGATGATTACGGAGCATCTATTCTATTCCGTTTGAACACTGTGCAGAGAAATTTTATGACAGTCTTTTGCTTTTCCCTGATACATCTCCAACCCACCCAAACCTCACTCATTATACAGAGCACCAAAACCTCACGCGTCAAATAGAACCCTAAATCCCCAAATTGATATCCCAATTTGTGAAATTGATTGAACTTTGCACGAACCCTAATGTCAGAACCAACTTCTCCCACCAATCCTTACGCTTCCAATCGAACAACAACGATTTTTTTTTCACACGAACCCTAATATGAAGCCCCAATCTTCTTCCCCAAATCTGATTTCGAATTGGCACTCGAAAGAGAGAGGGGCTGCTGCACTTAGTTTACATCCTTTTTACCACTTTGCCCTTATTTATATTTTATTTCCCCTCGTTGCAGTCCATTTATTAATTCACAAATTCAAAAAATACACTTCACACACATTTTTAATGCCACGTCATTTAAAAACACACTGTCAGCATGCCACGTAACACCCTCCTTATGTCTTCTCAATTTGACGGAAATCTTTTATTTGATTCAATTTTACAAAAATAAGGACTCAATTGAGACGCGGTAAAAGAAAGTGACCTATTTAAGATTATGGACGAAAATAGGGACCTACCAAAACATTAAACCTAATTTAAGATAAATATAACTATAAACTTTAATATTAATTATATTCATGTTTATATTAAAATTTTCAATAATAATTTGTTATCGCAAACAAAATTTATTGAAATAAAATAAAAAAAATTATTTGTATTCATTAATATAAAAAACATTTAGTATTTTTATAGGTTTAATGTCTCGGTAGGTCCCTATTTTTGACGTGAATCTCAAATAGGTCCTTTTTCTTTTCGGCGTCTCAATTGGGTCCTTTTTTGTGTAAAATTGCAGCAATTAGGGGTCTGCCGTCAAATTCAACAAACGGCCGTTTAAATTTGGCCTACGTGGTATGGTGAGTGTATTCATTATCTGACGTGGCATAGTTTGAGCTTAATACGTGGCAGAACCAAGAGTGACGTGGCATGATGAGACCTTCTGTGGTTCATCTTCTTCTCCTTCTCCCCCTCTCTCTGCAATACCCCGCTTCTCTGAATCTCTTTTTGTTAATCATCTGTCTTTCAAACTAAGATTTTTGGGTTTGTCTTTTAACCCACCAAGAAACGAGATCCAGGTTTTCACAACACACTTCAGATCACTATCATCATGCTCTTTACTGTTTCTGCTTCATCATGCTAGATGCTACTTCTCCTGCCCATAAACTCTTCTTCTAACAAAAGGGGTGGTGGGGTTTTCACTTTTCATCATTAAAAGTATAAATTACTATCCAAAAGCTACTGTTGAGTGCAAAAGTTTAAATTATGCTTCAAAGGTTTCGATTTTTCACTCATTATTGTATTCTGTTCTTGATTGACCGCTGCAGTCTCTTCAGGGCCCTATGTAGATATGTTGTCTGGGAATCCTCTTTTACCCCATAACTACAGTGAAACTGTTGGAGGACAAAATGAGTTGAAGTTCATGACATCCATGAGGGGCGGGTTCCCAGAGGAAAGCAGAGGAGCCACTCCAGTGGGGTTTTGGACCGCTGCCAGAACCACCGGGTGTCACGGATCTCGGCGGCGGTAGATATTAAGATTCCGGCGAAGATGGTGACGGAGGTGAGGGACATGGAGAGGCTGTGAAGTGCCGCAAGGGGGCCGATGGGGATGGGACGGTGGCGGCGGAAAAGAACAAGCGAGAGGTGGAGCAAGAGCGAGAGGATGAGGTAGGTGGCGATGGAATAGAAGAGGAAGGACCACGTGGCGCCCCATGATTGGGCATGGCTCCACCGGAACCCCACGATGGAGGGGTGCTCCGAGAGATAGTAGATTAGTGGCGGTGGCGCCTTGGGCATCGTGAAGAGTGCTTTCACATTTCGTCTTTCTGTCTGGTTGGAACTTGGAAAAGGCTGAACTCTAAAACTGAAGAGTGAAAAATCAATTCAAGTGTAGGGACTTGGTGGACATTAAAATGTGATGGAAAGTGGGGTGTTGCAGAGAGAGGGGGAGAAGGAGAAGAAGATGAACCACAGAAGGCCTCAACATGCCACGTCACTCTTGGTTCTGCCACGTATTAAGCTCAAACTATGCCACGTCAGATAATGAATACACTCACCATACCACGTAGGCCAAATTTAAACGGCCGTTTGTTGAATTTGACGGCAGACCCCTAATTGCTACAATTTTACAAAAAAAAGGACCCAATTGAGACGCCGAAAAGAAAAAAGACCTATTTGAGATTCACGCCAAAAATAGGGACCTACCGAGACATTAAACCATTTTTATACAAGTAAAATATGAAAAAGAAGGCCCTAGATAGTTTTGAAACATACCTTTCGTACTTCTTATTAATTCCATTATCAAAATTAGGCATGAAATTAATTTCTATATACTTATTTATTGAAAACATAGATTAAATAATATTTGTAACTGAAATAACCTGCTGCTTTTAGAGTTATAGTTTATTAGGATATTCAAGCTCATAGTTATAGTTTAACTATGAAACGAAGAAAGCAATATTTATTTTTCTCCAACAACACCCTTACCTATATTCACAACCACTCTAACGTTTTATATAGATATTTTAATAAGATGAAAGTTCTGCGGTCTCATATTACAGTTAATTACAATAGATATATACACATGATTTTAAATTATGTTATTTCTAGGTTAAATAATTTAGTTAACTTTAATTTGTGTATATTTCTGTGAAAAAAAAACTAATTTTAAAAATGTTGAAAAATAAGTTATTACTCAATGATTTTAAATATAAAAGTTATTTTAGTTTAAGTACGAGTTAACGTGTTGTATATGTGTACACAAGTAAGTTAAACAATAAATAGATTATAAACAAGGAGTTTGCTACCGAAATAACTTCTTAAAATATATACTAAATTTTAGTAGATAAAAGTACTTCCATATAATTGTAAAGTTTTATGATTAAAACATTTCTGATGTTTTATTTATTTTAAATTAAAAATAAAAATTATTAAAATATTTATGTGGTTAAACTATGTTTTTTTTATGAATAACGTATTTTTATAGCTAAAATTTAGTATATTTTAAGAAATTACATAAATTAATAAATCACTATAAATAATTATATAATAAATTTATGTAATTATTATAGAGAGCGAATCGGTAACTATAACTAAGAATTAATATAGAAAGTGAATCAGTAACCAATTTATAATAAGTTACACACCTTTTCTATCTTGGATCCATAATCTATATAATAAGTTACACAATAATAAAACTGTAATAAATAAAGCAAATTTTTATATATTAGTTGAATCCAAAACTGAAATAAAGAGTGATACAGTAACTGAAACTATAATAATTCATATATCTAGTAGACCTAAAACTGGTATAAAATTTTTCTGTACCAATTGATCACTTATAATATTTAATTCTTCTTTCCGACTTTTACACCTCACTTAAGTGTCTTATCTTTTACCTTATTTCACACTCTATTGAGTTTGCCTTCTCCATTTGCCACATTCATTCTCCTTATCTTCTCATTGCAAATTCCTTCTCATTCTCATCGTTGTTCGTGTTCGTCACTCATGCAATTACGAAAATGTTTGAACGTTCACGAGAATTATTTTCTGAACGTCATTCACGAAGGTTTTTAAACATCTTAACATCAATTATACATACATACATATATATATATATATATATATATATATATATATATATATAAATTCATCTTTCTCTTTAAAAAATTACATATATATATATATATATATATAATATTTTTAATTATTATTTACATTTTATTTATTTAGACTCACATTAAAAAAAACATTTTTAGTCCTTTTACCACATTTTAAGAATTACAATATTATTTTTTTAGTTGTTTTAAAGACCAAAACTGTGACAATGAAATGATGATTGCCAATTTGAAAGGCCATATTTATATAAATAAAAACATATTCGAATTACTGTCGACATATATGAAGTGATGTATTCAAACTATCCAAATCAAAACCTTTTAGTGGAAGAAAAATTGTGAGTAGTTTTACATGTGCAATATTGTGAAATTGAGGAAAGTATTTGAGTTAGGTGTTATATTTTTGTCCAAATTGTAAAAAAAAGAAAAGAAAGGCAGGTGAGGTAATTGAGTTTAAACATAATAATTAATGATGAAGATAATAAAAAAATATTTTTTAACAATTTCTTACAATCTTTTTACTATCGTTTATGTGATAGGTTATAATTACTCTGTTTCAAATCTACAACAAACAAAATAATTACATATAGTCTATTATTAAAATATTAAAAAAAATATTAATATATCATAATCTAAGATAATAATAAAGGAAGAGTAACGCCACAACAGATATGGACCACAGAGAGAAAACGGCCCCATCTGTGAGTAGTGTTTGAAAATAAAAAGGGCGTTGAATTTTCATTCTTTGTATAATCTGTCATGATGAGTGGTGAAGATAGTTTGTTCTTGTTTGAGTCCCACGACTTCTTTAGAAGAAAAATATTTGTCACGTGTTAAACATTTAAACCCTACAACCAGACCAAATGTCAAAGATTATCTTAAACATGTCCTATCTTTGCACAACAGATGAGTAGTTGAACATAGTTATATTCATTATGGGATGGAAAGTCAAAACCTTTAATACAGCACTTCATTTTGAAATAAATTTTCTCGGAAAAAGACTTCCATATATATTTTTTTATAAGACTTCAATTGAGTTACCAAATGTCTAAGTTACAACTACGATACACATTTATTTATTCTTATAATGAAATTAATATTGAGTTAGAAAATAAAAAAGAATTATATAAAAATTATAAATATTAAAAAACATACTGATAATCAAATATATGTTTTATAAACAATTTGATACCTTAAACATAATTATATAAAGAAAAAATGTATAATTAAATAAGAAGTATCTTAGAGATATATAAAACTTTGACCTAATTTTTTTCAAATGATATAATTAAATTATTTATTCGATTAGATACTTAAAATTGAAATAGTCAAATATTTTTACATGAAAAAAATAATAAATAAAAATACTAAAAATGAATAAAAATAATTAAATATGTTATCTAAAAACTATTTAATTTATTAAAATTGATACTATATTATTTGAATATAATTACTAGAAAAAAAATGTATAATCAAAATTATGATAAAAAAAACGTAAGTTGGAGATGCGAGTGAATTTTATAATTATTAAAAAAATGTGTAGAAAAAAAAGTTGCAAATTATATATATATATATATATATATATATATATATATGAGTTTACTAATGTAACTTATTAAAGTGTACCAAATTTTAATTGAAAAAAATACTTTCATATATTATGGATTCTAAATTTTAAAATTAAAAGTATTTGAATAATTTCTGACTTTTTTATTTTTTTATTTTAAATTAAAAATAAAAATTATGAAAATATTTGTATTTAAAGTATGTTTTTTTATGAATAGGAATTTTTTTTATCAAACTTAAATTTAGTATTACATAGTAAACTCTCTCTCTCTATATATATATAACCTAATAACTATGTATATTTTATTAATTTAAATGAAAATAAATATCTAATTAAACAAATAAAATATTACTCATACATGCCATGTCCCGTTAATATTACATCAAAACAATAACAATTTAAAAAAAATACCCACATAGACATCTATTTGTCATTCCTTCATCATTAATCCAAATTATGTTTAGGTTTACATATTTTTTAATTCTTTAAATTTGAAATACTTTTTGTTGCTAAATTTAAATTTAAACTTATTTTTTTAGCCTTTCTCATTAGTATGTCTTTAGAGATGTTGGTGTTCATACCTTTAGAAATTTCCAACATAAAAAATATGTTTTTCCAGCTGCATATTCCTAAAAAAATCATTAGTATTTGACAATCACGTCTCTTATAGGAAAATATTAGTATTAGTTTTGATGCAAAGTTGAAAAAATCAACGATCATTTCATCAATCGGAAACAAAAGTGTTTACACGAATTAATTGTTGGGTAGAAATTGTACACGTATATATTTTATCACATAATAAAAACATTTTTTTGTAGTCAAGATTAAAATCATCTTACTAAAAAATTACACCAACTATTTAAAAAAAAGTTTAATCACTTCAAATAAAAGTATGGATAAATGAAACACAACAGTTTTCAGAGATATTTGTAAGTATTAAAAAAATTATTTAAATAATTTATATTTTATTACATTTTTAACATTTCCTTTTTCGTGACTTTTCTAGATTCGAACGTTAATGAATAAAAAATATAAATTCTAATATGTATTTAAAAAAACATTAATTTAAACAAAAACAATTTTTATATGATAATAAGAAAAATATCATTTCTCCAACAAAATTTAAGGAGCTAACGTTTGTAGAAAAAGTTCATAAAAGAAAAGTCATAAAACTAGCTGAAAAAAAGTTGCATAAAGAGTCCATAAAAAAATTTGCAGTTTCCAATTGGTACTATTATGTAAGTTTTTTTATGCTTCAATGATAATATCGCATCATGAAAATTAGATTTAAAAAATAAAAAAAGGTTTTGTAATATGAAAGGACATTAAAATCATGAAATGGGTGTCAACAATAATTTAACAATGAAAGTTTATGTTTTAAAAATTTATGCCATCAAATAAAATTGTCTATTACGTAATAATATAATTTTAATGATTTTTTGAGGAGAAAAAAGCCATAAATTAAAGTTCTGTATGTTTTTTATAATATAAGATTGTTAGTATAATTGAAAATAAATAACTTTTAAGAGTAAATTCCATATAAAACAGTAATTTATTATAGACTAATTCTATGGGTAACTTTTTTAATGGGTAATTTCAGTTTTTTTAGTGTA